TTGCCTCCTTTGCCATGATACCAGAAGAACTAGCTGGTAACAGGTACCATTACTGGTAATTTTGAACAAAGAATCTATTAAAAACCCTGATCAAAAAGGAAATAACGCAGAATAGGATTTAAAATTCTCATGGTCTCCAAACTTTCTGGAACCATCCAACTTGGATGAAATCTTGAAACTAGTGTTTTGAAATAATCTTTAAACCTCAAATTCAAAATATCCCCTGGAGTCCTAAAACCAAAAAAAAAAATAATTTAGGTTACCTAGTAAAGAATGTCTGCCTTGAGCATTGTGGTCATAAAATTTTTTATTGTCTTTATTAATCTGTTAATGGGGATAATTAATGCAAAATACTTATATCTATCCTATATTGTAGAATTTCCCATCATAATACAGTTATTTTATTTCAATGAAATATTTTTGTATTACTTTAAGCTCATTACATGTTTATCATTTACATTTTATATACTGACATGCACAAGTTTAGCACTTTAAATAAAGTGACTAGATATAAAGCATTTTCCTTTTATACTCGTATTTTCTTAGAAAAATTTTGTATACCATGAATAATGTATATTTGCATATTTTTTCTGATTATCAGAGCACTGTGCTTTTTTTTAACTGTTCCTATATAAAAACATATATATTTTTTTATTCATTTTATTGGGGGCTCATACAACTCTTATCACAATCCATACACACATCAATTGTGTCAAGCACATTTGTACATTCACTGCCCTCATCATTCTCAAAATATTTGCTCTCCACTTAAGCCCTTGGTATCAGCTCGCATTGTGCTTTTTAAAGAGCCATCTTTGTGGAATCAGATTAACAACAAACTCAAAAGATTAGACAAGAACAATAGGCTGTAGTAAATTTATGCAAATGGAGGAGAAACAACTCAGAAAAAAAAGTTAAAATGGGTGCAAAATTTGAGAAATGTTGCATAATTCCAAAACCACTGTAGAAAGCGATCTGGTAATACCTCAAACAACTAGGAATAGAAAGTCATATGATTCAGCTGGGCATAGACTTAAAGAAGTAAGAGACATAACACAGACAGACACCTGTACCCATCCACATTCATCACAGCACTGTTCATAATAGCAAGAAATTGGAAAACAGCCAAAAATGCCCATCTGGGAAGAATGGATAAAGAAACAGTATATACACACAATGGAATACTATGCATCACTAAAATTATGTTGCATGAAGTTGGATAATCACAAAATGACAAACACTGTATGAGACCACTACAATAAAGATAAAAACCCAAACAAAGATTTACATATCAAAGGGAACAGAACCTGAAGGCAAAGGAGGGAAGATGAAGCAATGGAGAGGGATGATAGGTGTGGATTTGGGTGAGAGGGAGAATGGAGAACCACAAAAGGGAGACATGGGGGTGGGTGGAACAGTCTAGTGGTATAACAGTGAGGGAACTGATGAGTAAGTTGAACTCTTGAATGCAGAGTTGGTGGTCTGAAATGTAAACCTCTCACTCAATTCACAATTTAAGAAATATGTAATCAATCACTGAGTTGTATTATGCAGAAACTTGAATTTGTGGATATGATTTTGCTTTGTATTATTCACAACAATAAAGTATTTTTTTTAAAGAAGAAGAAAGTTCAATATCCAACAGAAGTTCAAAACAAGAGAATAGTGATAACAAATAAGATAACATTTGAAAAAGAGTACAAGAACACTTTTTGGTACAGCAGTGCAGTTAATTATTGAATATGGCTCTCCTAGCCATAGTCTTTGTTACTCCCACCAAACGCCTTTTTCTGGGTAGCTCTGGGTAAGAGAAGGTAGAGGAAAGTACTGACAGCATTCAGTTGTGAGTGAGTGTTAACAGACTTCATAGTCATTGCCATCCTGCTGGGGATAAAATGAGTCCTCTCAGCAGCAGAAAGGGAGGATCTTCCACCAGCAGGGCAGAAGAGCCAGGGTGGAGTACATCTTTTAGACCCCAAGATCCCTATGTATTGAACCTCCTTACCCCAGGAGAGAGCTGTGACACCAGAGGGCTAATAGGAGTGGCACACCTGCGGCAGCAACAGAACTTAGAGGCAGAACATGAGACAAAGCAGCAGACTTCCCAGCCCACAAGCAAGTAAAGCTTAGTGCGTGTGGTGGGGACGAGGGCATGTGGAATGAGGTGCTTCTAGGCGCCTGGCTTGGTGACCCACAGAGTGAGAACTAAGCATCTTCAGTCCAGAGACTGAAAGGGTCTACTAAGTACCTAGATAATGAAGGGGAAAAAAGACTCTCTCAAGGTTTCCACACTCAAAAATCAAACTCCCTGCCATGGAGGGTTGTTTCTAATATATAAGAACTCTATGTATAAAGCAGGGCAGAGCAGCCCCTGTGAATTTTCTGAGATTTACTCTTTACGGGTGTCAAAAGCCTCCTTACTCTCCCTCAGAACAGCTGGTGGTTTGGAACTGCTGATCATGTGGATTGAAGCCCAACTTTTAAGCACTACACCATCAAGGCTCCTGTCAAGGCTTAGTATCATGAAATTTCAGTTCGAGGAAAAAGAGCTGTTCCTAAGGGCCTTCAGAAGAAAAACCAAGTTACATAAAATATCAACAGCTCAACAGCAACTAGGATGCTAGAAGACAGTGAAGTGATGCCTTCAAAATTCTGAAGCAAAACTGGTCAGTGTAGAATTCTATGCCCCGCCAGACTACTAACTTGGCATTAGAGTAGAACAAAGATATTTTTCAGGTAGGCAATAACTCAGAATAGACATCTCAACATCTTTTCTTAGCATTCTACTAGAGAGAGTCCTTTAGAAAAACAGAGGAGAAAATCAAGAAAAGAGAGAAGAAATCCAGGAAGAAAAGGAATGAGCTGAGAAGAATGGCCAAGTCTCAGTCTGAGAGTTTTGCATCATCAGGGAAGAGAAGTGGGGCAGGTTGGGGTAGGATGGACTATATGAAAGTGAGACCTTCAGAAAAATAATGAAGCTGACAGACTACTTGATGTGCTTAAGCATTTGATGAGAAAAAATTCAGAGGAAATAGTTAATGCTACAAAAAATATGAGACAAAAAGACAATTGTTAAAAATAAAAAGATTGTGTACAACATAGGAAAAGTAATCATAGTTACTGCTTTCCCCAGCAGTAAATATATTTTTCAGAAAGTTCATGGAATAGTGAAATGAAGAAAAAAAATTCTCCAGGAATTTTTTTAAGCCTCTTATATATAGTCATCAAACCTAGGTTTTAATAATAAAACAGGACTGACTCAAACTGTAATGTAAACTCCCTTACGATAATGGGGCAAACAAGTGTGAAAAATAATATATATTGCCTAAAATGTATGTTCTATAAAACAGCAATATGAAATCTTTAGAAACATGAAAATAAAAACTACCAAAAGCCAGGAAGCTGCTGCTTCAAAGAACTTGAACAGGGGTTGGGAAGAGAGATAGGACTACTAGTCCCACGATAAACTTTTTGGAAACATTTTTTGTTTTGTTTTGTTTTGTTTGAATAAAATACACTAACAGTGACCGGTAAAATTTCAGATGCTTTAATTTTTTTTTCTCTTGGCTTATTTCAATTTTCTATAATAATCCTGTAGTACTCACATAACTTAAAAATACTAAATGTTGCATTGTTTATAATGAAAAGCCACAGCTGTAAGTGGTAAAGAACCTGCACAAATCAGGAGGGGCTGAGCTGCATAGTCTCCTTCAGGACCTTACCTTTTATTGTGGTCAAAATGAAGAAAGCAATGAGGGTGTTGTTGATTGCACAGGTAGACTTGGCAACACAAGATAAGACCGTGTAGGGATTTAGGAGGTAGCTGGGAAAGAACACACATATTTGCCATTAATAATCCTAGTCAGTGAACTGGGAAGTTCTGGCCACCACAGCCAGTGAATTAAAAAGGTTTACTAAATTTAGCATACTCAAAGGAAAACAAATTCTTCTCTGTCAGTCAGTATGGATACCTATATATTTATCTACCCATTGCATTTAATCATTACAGATATCACAGAAACAAGCAAAAACATTTCTATTTAAGAAATGAAGAAATAAAGATTCAGCCATTAAGAAACTTGCCCAAAGTCTCATAAGCTAAACAAATACATTCAAAATCAAGTCTTTCTAATTCCCAAGTCTTTATTCTTTCTATTTAAGATTTTAAGAACGATAACATTCTAGAAATTACCACAAATCTTTAATTAATTTAAATTGCATTTTTAAAACCTTTTTGTGAATTGGGTGAAGTTTTACAGAAAAGTTTTACATTCAGCAATTCAAACATATTCCTCTCATTCATTCCAATCCTCTCAATGGGTCATCACTTCCTCCCAGGGTGTCCCGTTTTCATTCCTCCTTCTTCCTGAACCTTCAGAACTTTGTCCTTGGGTCAGTGTTGCCCTTGTGATCTCAAATGGTTCTCATGCCTCGCCATTATAGTTCCCCTTATAGACCTGCCTATTGTTTAGCTGAAAATTGAACAATGGAGTAAGTTCAATTTAGTTTCAGATCTGAAAGGTGATTAAGGGTCAAGGTTTCTAGGGTTCCACCAGTCTCTAACCAATAAACCTGGTCTGTTATAATTCTGTGTTTTGTTCCACATTTCCGCCCCCCCCCCCCCCCCTATTCATGACCTTCTTACTGTGATCCTTTTCAGAGCAGTTAGTAGTGGTAGCTAAGTACCATCGAGTTCTTTTGAAGACTGATGCTAAAGTGGGTCATTAGTCCACTGGACTGTTTTTACATGTCTTTGATTTTCATCACTCTTCTTTCCTCCAAACTAGAAGACCAATAGACGCACTTCATGAGCTGTTACAACTCCAGTCACTATTCACCAAAGTAAGTTAAAAAACAGTATCTTTGTGAATTATGTTATGCCAATTAACCTTAGTGTCCCCTAAGACTGTGGTCCTGAGCTCCCAGGTCCAGCAATTCATTCTCTCAAGGTGTTTGGCTAAATCTAAGAAGTTTTCATAATTCTGTCCACTGTATGCTCCACTACAGTCATAGATATATTTATAACAAAAGTAAATACCCATATACAAACACCCTCTGACAAACATATATTTGTGGGCATCTACCATTTTGGTGGCACTGTAGGATAAATGTTGGGCAACAAGTTGGGTAGTTCCAACCCACCAGTTGTTCTGTGGGAGAAAGATGAGGCTATCTGCTCCCACAGGAACCCTGGTGGCATAGTGGTTATGCATTGGGCTGGTAACTACAAGGTCAACAGTTTGAAACCACCAGTCACTCCGTAGGAGAAAGACAAGGCTTTCTATTCCCACAGAAAGTTAGTCTCAGAAACTCACAGGGGCAAGTTCTAAGCTGTCCTATAGGGTCGCTATGAGTTGAAATCGACTCAATGACAGCAAGGGAGTGAGGGTGGTGAGCTTACAGTTTGGTAAACTCTATATAGGATCTCTGTGAGTTAGAATTAATTTGATGGCAGTGGGTTGTTTTATTTGTTAACTACCACTTTCCTTCCCACATCTTTCAGTCTGTGTGTCTACTCATACCAAAAGCTATATATCTTAAGAAGGGTTCCAGCTGTCTCTGATAAAAAATAAAAACAAGAAAATACTTTTTTGCTTGATCAATTTCCTAAGTTCTGACATACTCTAACTTACTGCCATTGAGTCAATGCTGACTGATAATGACCCTATAGGTTAGGGTAGAATTGCCCTGTGAATTTCTAAGACTTTAACTTTCTGGGAATAGAAAGCCCTGTCAGAGCAGCTGGTGGTTTGGAACTTCTGTCCTTACAGATGCCAGACCAACTCTTAACCTCTATGCCACGAGACCTCCTGATAAGCTCTGGCCTAGGCAACACCAATCCAGGAAGTCAGAGCACAGCTTAGATTTAGCCCTTTTGGTAGTCAAACCATATCAAATGAGCCAGACTCCAACACACAAGTATCTGATGAATTCAACAAGCCAGCTCCTATAGGATGCTATGACACTTCTTGACTTTCCTCTGGGAAAAAAACAAAACACCGAGGGTTTTCTTGAAGTGGGAAGGGATGGACAGAGAATGTGAATTTTAAATGTCTCTGGATAGGAAAATCTTACATAGTCAAGATAAATATAATTTGTTTCTATCCTGCTTCCACAAAGGATGTGAGGCAGCTAAAAAGAGAATACATAACAAATAATTAATAGCAAAACTAAAAACAGAAATATAGAATCCAAAACCAGGGAAAAAATTAGTAAATGGAAAAAGTAAAGGGCAGGGAAAGGGCCAAACAGGTCTTCTCCAGGCCTGTATGAATCCATTTCAAATCCATCTCTGAGTTTCCTGGCACCCAAAATGAAAAGGGAGACCAGTTGCATAATTCTGATTATCCAATAGGAAGAAAAATATCAGTATCTCAGGAAGAGATCATAATTATTATCCACAAATAAAGACTTTAAATCCAATACCTCCCAGGACCTTTAAGATTAGTAGCTCTAAAGCCAGACCTAGAAAATCTTGGTGGTTGCTGTTTTTTTTCCCCTCAGTAGTTCTAGATAAGCTTATTATACAATCTCTAATGAAATGGCTGCTGTTATTATAAAACTACCTCCTAGAGACATGAGTCCATAAGGGATTCATAATGTTGCTAAACCTCTAGTTCTCTTAGGTAGTTCCGACCAGTAGTTCTGAAATACATAAATGTGAACTGATAGCCCCAGACTTTTTGGTGCAGCAGAGTAAACTAAGTCAGTGCTAAATACCAGATGATGTTCAAGCAACAGCAGCATAATCATCTATCTGGGATACTGATATTCACACGTAAATCAGGGAGTTGAATGAACTATCCCCACAAGGGCCCTTCTAATCCTGGAGTTCTGAGGTCCTGTTTTCCTACAGGGTAACTTATCGGCATTATTGTGTATTCCTAGCAACTAGTATACTATTCATATTTAGTGACTATTAGTTGACTAAATAGTTATTCAAATGTCTATGTCAGGAATATAAATGGAAAAATTATATTTTAGAATTATATTATAACTAAGCTGAAAGAGTTAAACTTATTGGAAGCACTGGGAACTCCTAGAGAATCCTTTCATAGACCCTCAGTAAGTGCTACTCCTCCACATTGGTCATTCACTCTAGGATGGGTCAAGTTTGGCACTTCAGTTTTCTGAATTACAATAGAGCAATTAATTTGTACAACAAACAGAAGAACTGCTTGAAAAAAAATCACATAAAGATCAGAATTTTATTTGATTTATACATCAAACTGAAGAACATTTTGTGGGTGGGGGGCAGGGGGTGTAGAAATACTGATTACAAGAGGGCTGGAGCTCAGATCAGCACCAAGTCAAAAAGCATTTGTGAAAGGTTTGATTGTGCATATCCCTGTGTGAGTCTTTGTCCCAACAGAGACAGAATGGCTCTGTGTTTTTGGCTGGCTAGAACCCAGTTGTGCAACAGAACTACAGCAAATACTTGATGACTAAGATTGCAAATCTCAAAAATACAACAAAACAGCCTGGGAAAGTCTCATCAGATTTTCCGCACACTTGTTGGCACCGAGTTCTTCTTTGTCAGGAATACTTACAACAGGGCCACTTTCAAAGGGATGTAACGCATTTCCATTGGGGTTCGGATGAGTTCAGCCACATCTGGGGCATACTGGTCCAGTTCCAACAGGAGTTTCTGTTTTTTAAACTGGAAAAAAAAGTGAAACAGTACACTTTCCATTGCTTTTAGGAGGAAGAGAAAAATTCTTTCCATGGCCCACCTGTCCCTGCCTGTGCTATTCCTACTTCTCTCAGCTCTTCTCACACCTACTGCCTTCCCACTTTTTGAGTTTCACTACCATGAAAATACCAGTATTTTCCTCCCAGAACTTTGCATTTCATCCAGTAAAATCTCATCTTCCCCTCTAGTTATCTCCCATACTTTCCCTGCCCTCATTTTGATTGGGAGCTCTTACAAATATTATAACAATCCATACTTCAATTAGATCAAGCACAATTATACAATTGTGATGTTGGCATCATCATTTTCAAAAGATTTTCTTCTTGCATTCTTTATTATCAGCTCCCCTTTACCCCTGCCCTCCCCACCCTACCCCCCTAGAGCCCTTGTTATATTAAATATTATTATTCCATTTTTTCCCTCACATCTTACAACATCCAATGCATCTGTTCACCTGCCATTCTGTTATTCGTTCCCCTTAAGTGTGGCCATACAGTCGTCATTGCTATCAGTTCCCATTCCCCGTCTCTCCCCCCTCTCTTTCTGTACCCTCAGGGAATCATTACTCCCAATACTATTTCTGAAGGGTTTATCTATTTTGGATCTCATGCACAGACCTTAATTATACAAGTGAACATATGCAGGTCTAACAGGGTTAATGAGGTAAAACTAAGACCATAATAATAGGGGGAGGAAATATTAAAGAACTAGAGGATAGTTATGTGTTTCAACAGTGCTATACTGTACCTGCATATATCTTCCCTTCCGCCACAGTCTTTACATCTTATCTAAATTGTTACTTTCTGAAGAAGACATTCATGACCTTCCTGACTAGGTAAAATCCCCTATCATACACAAACTCTTTATAGCACCATTTACTGGTATAACTCTTACTTATTCATGTTATTATTTGACTAAAGTTTATCTCCCTCATGATCTTACATATTCCATAAGCCTAGTAACTATGTTTGTTTGACCTAATGTATTCCCAACACCTGGCACAGTGAGCAATCAATAAGCACCAGGTGAATGAATAAATGAATGCATGAAAGTGACAACGTTCTTAGCCATTTTGAAAAGCTACCAGTGCTGAGAAACGATGTACAAATGCGCTTTACACAATTGATGTGTGTATGGATTGGGATAACAGTTGTATGAGCCCCTAATAAAATGTTAAAAAAAAAGAAAAGCTACCAGTGATCTAAGTTCCAAAGTTCCATCTGCAAGCTGAAATATTTTTCAGAGTGGAATGCTCCTGTCAGTGTCACACTATCTTGGGTTTCCTTCCTCACTCTCCTGTTTGAAGCTTTTGATTCCATGGAGAAAGGGGGAAATGTGCCTGGTGAAGGAGGAGGAGGGCTGGGTGTGGCTGGACAGCTGGAGAGTCAAGATGAAGTGGGATGGGATGGAAAGTTCTTGGTTTCTCCTGGTTGGTCACAAGTTCATGGGTGTGTTTGAGAATGAAAAAACAAAAAGATTAGGCAACTTTACAAGCAAATATGAGTCAGAATATAGATGGGTGACCCTACTTTAATGGTCATGGAATTTTAGACTGTACGTAATCAACACAGTATTCAGAAAGCCAATGTAGCAAGCATCCAGCTATCTGTACAAGGTCACAAGGATTTAATGATGAAGAAAGCCGGTCAAAATATACATTTTATGTAAAACGTGTGTTGCACTGTTCACATAAAAGCATACAAAATAATATTATATGCTATTTGGGAATACTATACACAAGTAAAGTAAAATTGTGAAGGGGCTTCAAAATTCCATTATCTTTTTATTCCATTTTCTCCTGGACTTTATGAAGCCCCCTTGTATAGGCCATATATGAAAGTGAACAACAATAAATTTAGAGGAGGGGTTACTGGCAAGAGAGGAACAAACGAAACAATCAAAGAGAGGCACCTCTCTGAGTAGTGTTTTCTTTCCTATAAGCTGAAAGTAGATTCACAAGCATGTACATACTACAATATAATATTTATCATAGATCTTTTTCAGTTTTTCTGTATTGCACAATTATGAAATTTTAAAATGACACCTTAAAGAGCATCATTCAGTTAAAAAGAACCCAGGAGTCATCATAGAGATACCCCAGATTTCTCACATAAGTTTAAGTAGAACATAATCAAAAAACCTGAGCTTCAAAAGCTTCTTGCTCACCTCTGATCTCAGGTGTTGGTAGTTTTAGATAGCTAGAGTGGTGGGAATGATCATCAATAAGGTTTTGGTTTTTTTTAACCCACTGGCATTTTATTTTTATTTTTTTAATCACTTCATTGGGGGTTCATACAGCTCTCATCATAATCCATCCATACATCTATTGTGTCAAGCACATTTGTACATTAGTTGCCCTCATCATTCTCAAAACATTTGCTCTCCACTTAAGCTCCTGGTATCAGTTCCTCAATTTTTCCCCTCCCTCCCTCATGAACCCTTGATAATTTATAAATTATTATTTTGTCATACCTTACACTGTCCGATGTCTCCCTTCACCCAATTTTCTGTCGTCCATCCCCCAGGGAGGAGGTTATATGTAGATCCCTATAATCGGTTCCCCCTTTCCACCCCACCCTCCCAGTATCGCCACTCTCATCACTGGTCCTGAAGGGATCATCTGTCCTGGATTCCCTGTGTTTCCAGTTCCTATTAGTACCAGTGTACCTCCTCTGGTCTAGCGGGATTTGTAAGGTAGAATTGGGATCATGATAGTGGTGGTGGGGGGGAACATTTAGGAACTAGAGGAAAGTTGTATTTTCTTTTTTTCATTTTAAAACCTCTTTATTGTGAGTGACAGTGCACATTAGTTTTCCATTCATCCACTTCCCTGGCATGGAACAGCTCTTCTTCCTCTGCTGTTTCCTGTTTCTTTTTTTGTTTTTTAATCGTTTTATTTTTCATCGTTGCTACACTGCACCCTGATTGGCTCGTCTCCACCCCGAGACCCTTCTGTAAGGGGATGTTCAGTTGCCTACAGATGGGCTTTGGGTCCCCACTCTGCACTCCCCCTCATTCACAATGATTTGATTTTTTGTTTTTTGATGCCTGATACCTGATCCCTTCAACACATCGTGATCACACAGGCCGGTAGAACCCTTGATAATTATAAATTATTATTATTTCTCATGTCATCACTAATATTTCTGCTGCCATTCGCTGCTCAGTATAGGCCTATCTGGCTTAAAGCTGTGTTGTTAAATTTAAAGGTTAAGATAAACACTAAGCCTTAGTGATTAAGGAAACCTTCTCAAGAGAGAAGTGTTGGCTCAGCAAGCACAGCTTCGTGAGACAACTGCAGCAGTAGTAGAAGGAAGCTAAGGGTCCTAGGCATCTGATGTCTACTGCGCGTGAGGTCCAAAAGGAAGGCTGCTAGAAGGCTATAGGAAGTTCCTTTAGGGCAGGCAGAGACAGGTGAGAATGCAGACGCAGGCCCCAGTGTGAAAGCCAGCCAGCAGGGCTGCAGTGCGAGATGGTGACACCAAAGGGATGTGCAAACCATGGGCAACGGTGACACTGTGCCAGCAGTGAAAGAAAGGTACTTCCTGTAACTCCAGTCTTCAAAAATACTCTAAAACAGAAAGGTTTTAGGATAAGGGGCAGTCCAGGAGGGAAGGGTCCCCAGAGTGTCTGCTACCTCTCTTTTTGTCTCCTTTCATCACACAGCACAACTTCAAAGGCCCAATAAATACACAGTTCCCTCAACACAAACAAAATCCCTTTGAAAAATCTCCATTGCATCCAGCGAGAGTCAGAAAGTTGGCTAGCTAACCAAAGAAATCTCTGAGCCTGTGCACCTCAGACAGCTTCAGGCCTGGAACGGAATTCATCCTCGTGGCACAACTTGCAGCCAAACAATAGCCAGTGAACACTAACACCAGAGAGGTACACATTCCTTAGAACAACCAATTATACAACACCCAAAGGGCAGCATTTGCCCAAGAATAAAGCTCAGAAGTCAGGAAGGGATGAGAGAGGAAGCGGCCTGGAAATGGTAAATACAGAGAGGATGTGAGCAGAGTGCTAGCATGTTGGAGGGGATTGTGATCAATGCCATGAATCAGATTATGTGTGTACAGGGATTAATAAAATGAAACTAGATACTAAAGAGCACATATGTATAATTCCACTTAAATATAAGTTAAAAAATAAGCAATGAATGAATGGATGAGGCTTTAGAGTACAATTAAAAAACCCAAAGATAAATTTCTAGCTGTATTCATCAGCTTTGAGACTGATGCAATACAAAGAGCTCACAGGTAAGGTTAAAAGTGCCCTGAAGGTGAGTTACATGAGTGTGTTACCTTTGTGGGCATTAATCAAGTTGTACACAGAAGCCTGTACAATTTTTTTGTATGTATTTTTCAGCATAAAAACTCCTAGGGCAGTTTTCCTCCCACTCTGCCTTATCTCACATTCTTATCCCTTGAAAGATTTTATTTTACAAGGAGATAATTCTCCTACTTCAGATTAAAGAGCTTTTTCCTAACCACTGAAAGTGTTTCTATTCCCAAATGGATCCCCCAAACCCATGGTGTAAAAGCAAAGAGTCCACCCCAACCCCATCTCCAACCGTGAGCCTCACCACATTCCAAATTCAGGAGACTATATTCCAAATATATAACTCTCTAATTATAGCAAGGGAATACAGGTTTTTATCACTCCCTTATCACGCTATTTGAAGCTTTCTAGATTTGAGTGTGATTCCAAAAAGGAAGTACATTTCAGCAGAGATCAGTTAGTCACACTAATAGTGTTTTTGTCAAGTGAGAAGGACGTAAAATGCTACGAAAATCAACTGGCCACAATCAAACAGCATTCATATTCATCACCAACAATACTAATATGTTTTCATAAGCATGAAAAATACAAGATATGGGCCCATTCTGATGGTTAAAGCTTAATTTTTGAGCACCCTTATTTGAGGAAGGCTATGGATGAGTGACCACCCAAAATCCATTTGGAGA